TATATATATATGTATATGTACGAGGATCAAATATAAACGAGAACTTTTTTTTATTATTTATTGGACGAGAATAAAAATATAAAGAAAACAAATTATTTTTTTATAATACATGGTTTCCTGTTACATTAATATATTTTTGCCAACGGATAGACAGTTTAGCGATTCTGTTTTCATAAAAAGTAGGAGAAGTCCGGACAAAATAGATGCCCTGGGTAAAGCGAATATCTTTTATTTTTGCTGATCTATCTAAGATTGCGCTATGAGTCTCTAGCAGTTGAAGAAATGATCGATCAGCGACGCTATGAAAGTATGAAACGAAATGATTGCATTCATTTGTGTTTAATAGAGACATAGAAAATTGAGTGTTTTTTTGCGACTTTTCCTTAGGTAGCTTAATCATTATCCGTAACTGTTCCTTATCAGTGTGAATGATTTTTTTATAAGAATTCTGTGTCTTTAAACGTGTATTCGAGGTTAAAATTTTTTACTTGATGTTTCAATTTATTCTAACCTTTTCAAATTCGCTCCAGGTAGATCTTTTAGGCAAAGTGGAGCAAAGCCAGGTATATGATTACAATGGAAATATTGGAAATATGGAGGGACGGATGACCTTTCAAGAGGCATGTGTTCGTTTACATCTCATTTTTGTTTATTTTTTGCCACAATGCAGTATGATGATTTGTTTATGATTGATCCAGTGCAATTATTACAAATGGGTCCATAAAGATTACATACAAAGGATTTGGTAGCTTTTGTGATGATTACTGATTCTAATTTTTTTAAATTTCATTTGCATTACTCCACATTACTAATCCATTCACTTTGCCCAGAGGAGTCGGGCAAAGCAGGTTTCTCTTTTTTTATGTTTTCACTAAAACGACATATTAGTCAAGTTTTTTATTTTTTTTTTATTTTAATTCAAAATTTAATTTTTTAAGAAATTTATGAGAGTAAAAATGTTTCTGATCTCAATTTTAATTGTGTCATTTTTTCTTTTCAACTTTAACACGTCCGCGCTGCCCAAGCTTCGCTTAGATTGTGTCTGCAGCTAATAATTGCGCACGAATTCCTCTCTCTCTCTCTCTCTCTCTCTCTCTCTCTCTCTCTCTCTCTCTCTCTCTCTGTATATATATATATGTATATATATATATATACTATCATCCTGAATCGAATCTTTCCAATTTCTTTTAGCGGCTGAAACAGATATTTGAGACAAATCTTTCCTATGATTGTTTGGATTACTGAAAGAAGAATTGGGAGGACAATACTATTCATGAATACCACGAATCGACGATACCAGTAGAGAGAAATTCTTGCGCAATTAGCTGCAGATACAATCCTATTATTTTTTATGAAAACGGGATCGCCAAACTGCCTATCCACTGGCAAAAATATATTAATGTAGCAGGGTATTATGTAGAAAAATAATTTGTTTTCTTTATATCTTTATTCTTGTCCAATAAATAATAAAAAAAATTCTTGTTTATATTTGATCCACCCTCATATAAATGAAATATTTTGAAAATAAATATTGGTCATCTCGAGGATATTGTGACCAAATAAAGTCGATCATAATTGAAAATGATATACAGCGAAATGATCATTGCAATGATACGTGCAATGATATCCTTCATTTAATTCTTCTCACATATTCTCATGTACGTAATGTGCATCAATAGTATTTTGTTTATTTGATTGAATACACTGTGCGATCTCAATGTAGAATTCAAAAATTTTTGTAACTTATTTATTTAAATTATCTTACTTTATACTCTACATATACGTATAAATGACAATGTTATTAATATTAAAGATTTTTTAATTATTAATATAAAATACAATACGATTATGAACTCGTTAATTATTTTTCACATCAATAGATCGATTCGCTCATATTATTTTCAATTATGTGAACATCTTGTCAATATAAATTACATAGGATATATATTATGTGAAATTGTTAAAACTCACGAAATTTTTCAAATTTCATTCACGTTCACACGCACAGATGTTAACGTTGATTTGGGCATTTATACATGCGAAACATGTACAATCAATTCTTACGATCGCTCGCATGACAGTATTACACATGTCCTCTTGTTTTGTGAAGCATAGTTTTGGAAATTCTCAATTGCGTTGCACAATTGGATGATTTGAGCAAAGATTCCTGTTAGAGGAGATTCCTTTTAGAGGATTCCTTTCAGAGAGATTCCATTTTAGTCGAAATAATTTGAAGTTGATGATAAAAAGAAAAATTAAAGAAATTAGGAATTTAGAAAGAATACTTAAAGATATTCTTTTTAAATAATTCATCAAGATATCCTTTTCAAACATTCTTTAAGAAGAAATAAATATTCTAAATGAATAAACAATATTAATCTAAATAATTTCTATTTACAAAAAGAAACGTATTAAATTAAAAAAAAAGTATATTAAGGATGTAACATGTAAAATAAATAATTTGAGCTTATCAAGATATATTATTATATTTTATTGCATAAATAAAATTCCGAAAAGCGATTTTTCTAAATTGTTTGTAATTTTATTTAAAAATTCGAATTTTCAGATAAAGTAGAGAAACGACTGCGAATTATTCTCAATGAAGGTTCTAAAAGTATAATGGACTTCAACAATATGAAACCAGAAATACCGCCCTTTTATGACGAGAAGAAATTTCAGTTAGGACAGCAAGCCTTTCATAATAATATATTCTCTATGATGATTGCAAAACTTTGCGGCCTTGTATCTCTTCTAGCGATTTCAACCATATTGGATGTAGTTATGTTTACCAAAAAAAGCGGTACTCCTTGTTTAGCGTATCGCAGATATGCAGAGACGGTGCTTCATACATGTGTATGGCATGAAAAGGATCCCAACGGCAAACCAAATGAGTAAGATTCAAATAAAAGAAAACAAAAGTATTATTATACATATTTAAAAAAATATTACGAAAGAAACAGTATCTAAAATCATAAAAATTAAAGTAGCATTAAAAAATATTTCATACATATCTATATTAACTTAAATATTATATATACTATATTTAATATATATA